ATAAAAAATTGAAATCTTGCATATTTATGAGACAGACAAAAGACATCAGCAATCCTACCATCATGTAAAACAATTACAGGCTTTCGTTTTACACTCACTTGGCAGGACGGTAGTACCTCCCTGGGTGGTTGCTGTCTACCAACCTACTACCATGATTTTTAAAAGACATACTGGATGTTGAAAGTTCTGATTACCAAAAATAAAGAAAGTTAGATTTGAACATGTTTCATGTGAAATTTCAGATTGCTTCACTTGTGTTGGCATGTGAAGGTCTTGGAACTGATGTGGATCGTGGCTTCTTCACACTCACTCAGTCTGGCAATGAATTTGGCATCCATCTACTCAAGGACTACCCACAAATAAGGACTGCTGCCTCTGGGGTAAGGTTTGGTAAAACATATCAAGACTGACATATATTAATGGTCCTCATTACTGTTGTATTATTATCCATTACAGTATGGGAAGTATGAAAAATGTAGTGACATGAGAATCTATGATGAGGCTTGAGAAAATACCATTATCTGGTTAGCTCGAGCTGTTACAATGTAGATGGAAGTCTTTAAAAATCCATAGTTGTAAAATGAGTGTTGAATCTATGCTAGCCTGAGTGTTAACTTTTAATGACGATGATTCAAGATCACTTGATTTATTCACTTGTCAGTAAGACAAGTTAAAAGGAGATTTTATAAAGAGAAAAAGTGACAGTAGATCAGATCAGAGGTGATGTGGCATGAGAATATAGACTGAATGCTTTGAACACTCACATAATGAGTGTGGAGTCTATACAGTACAAGCCTTCATGGTTACACATTTGTATCCATGGGACCAGAATTGTGTTGCTGGTGTCCCATCTTTGGTGTTTAATCTAAATATATTTTTAATTTTCCCAACTTTCCATGAAACATTTTAGTATTGAGTGTCCTGTGTGTGTGTGTGTGTGTGTGTGTGTGTGTGTGTGTGTGTGTGTGGGGTGTGTGTGTGTGTGTGTGTGTGTGTGTGTGTGTGTGTGTGTGTGTGTGGTGTGTGTGTGTGTGTGTGTGTGTGTGTGTGTGTATATATATATATATATATATATATTATATATATATATATATATATATATATATATATATAATTATATATATATATATATTATATATATGAGGATGTGATGTCAAGTTAGAGTATGTAGGAAAGAGGGAAATTTTTTCCCAGTAAAAGTAGGCCTTAGACAAGGATGTTACTAATCTGACAGGAATGGGGAAGGTAGGGCTAGGGGTGGCATGCACATCACAACCATGGGAATAATCTGGGATAAAGTTGTAGGCGGCAAAGAGGAAGGTGAAGGATGTAGGAAAAAGGGGAAGGGATGTGGGGTTGGTGTCAATGTTGGTGCTGTGAAAGCAAGGGCTGGTTCAGAGTTGGGCCAGCTGGAAAAGGAATTGGGGTTGTGTCTGAAGCAGTTCTTTGAGTTTGGGTGTTTCTGCCTGGCCCTCTCATCTGTTACCCATCTCTAAGCTTGATGGGTTTTCACATACTTCAGCTATTCCCTCTGTCATTGTCCTGACCCAATACAGCTATGCACATGATTGTAGCATTGTGTAGTTATCAGGAGCACTTTCTGTTGTAGGATCTTATCTTGCACTATATGGGACCAGAAGGTTAGTATAATTGGGCATTGTTTGCCACAGAAGGGTCTCCTGATCCTCTGAAAATTTGCCATCTTCCTATCTCTTCTTCTCCTCCAGTGCACTTGATGAATGTTATAATCTCATGCCCCTTATGTTCTTAAATTATAATGGGGTGTTTAATTGAATTATGTGGTAATAGGTAATACTTATTTCAAGAAGAAAAAGTTAAGTTAGTATATAAGATAGGAAATCAGCTTCCTAGACTATAAATTAGTAAATAAATGGTTAATGGAAAGACTTATCAGTATGCATGTTTTTAAAAGGGCAACAGATATGCCAAATCATTATTTAGTGGTACCCTGCCTCGGTGGGAGACGGCCGACTTGTTGAAAAAAAAAAAACCTATAGTGAGAGTAAGAGGTGCATAGAATGCAAAAAAAAATAGCATCAATGGAAAAGATAGATGTGAAAGGGAATAACCTAAAAAAAGGAAGTAGTGAAAGATATTGGCAACTATTTGGAGAAAGGTGGGCTAAAGTGAGCACAGGTAATGAGGACGAGGTCAAAAAGGTATGGGGTAGATTTAAGAATGCAGTGCTAGAGTGATCATCAGAAGTTTGTAGGTACAGAGGGTGGGTGCAAGTGGGAAGAAGAATGAGTGGCAGAATGGTAAGATGAAGAGGGTGGTATAACAGAAATGTTTGCATCCAAGAGGTTTCTACAATCTAGAAATGATATATGGAAGGCAGAGTATATGAAGAGAAAAAGAGTGGTGAGGTAGTGCTTCAGCCCTTATATCTTGGGTCATTTTCATATGGTTTCTAGAAGTAACTGAAAAACCTTTCAGGCCAATGACCGAGACACATGTGAAACATCTGGGTATCTTTACTCTATAATCATTTCACCATGCAGTGGGTTTATCAGTACAATACATGGACATAATGTGAAAACTAGAAATATATATGGAAAACAGTGGAAGACAAGATAATCAGTCCCTCAGTTTAGGAGCAGGTGATGAGCACCATAGTCTGGCATCTACACAGTGCCTCATAGCATATTGTGTAAGCTTATCCTTGCTTCTACGAATGTCAAACACTGTTTTGCTATGCCATACTCCTCGCACACCCTCCACTGAAATGCCATCCTCCAGCTTCCTTATTAATTCAAGTTTCTGAAGAGTAGAAAGTCACAATACCATAACTGTAACGATACACAAATAACCCACACTTGGGAGGCCATTAATTAGTCACACTAATTAAGGGTCAAAATCAGACCAAAACATTGTCGTAATTTTCAGTCACATAAGTGTGGATTATTTGTGTATTCCAGTTTCTGCTTAACCATTAGGGTTACATGCTTCTTCTTGCTTTAAAAGTTATTGTTAATAACACTGTACACAGTATATCAATAAAATTATTAAAAACATAGTAAATCCAGGGGAAAATTGGAGATGAAGGTGTGAACGTGCATGCAGACAATGACACTTATGCGGGCAGTCATTGGCCAGCTGTCTAGGAACAATGAAAGTGGACACTCCCAGGAAGAACCTTGGACCTTATAAACTTGTGATTAAGCAGAATCGGTCCGTTTTATTGAATTCATGACCGGACTGGATGGCCATTTAATATAGTGGATTTGGTACACTTCATCGTTATTTTAATCAGACACCCTATTAAACATACATGTTGAGCCTTTGTGTAGCCAGATTTTTTTGTCCATTTTAACTGGGGGGTCCCTTTTATTGGGCTTTTACTGTTTAGTGAGGAACCAAAAATATCAATTTAGTGTATACTGTGTGTTTAAAATTGTGTGGTTTACATAAAACTTTTTGCTCAGGATTTTTACATTATGTGTTTTTATGATAGACAGACAGAGAAGTATACCTGGCCTTCTCTGACCCCTGCACCCTGCCGCAGAACCCTGGATGGCCTCTTCGCAACCTGCTCACTTTGGTAACCTTAAAATGGTAATATTTAATAACAGTCTTATACACAATAGTTAACAAACATTACACTGAAACTTCAAGCACATGTCTTATTAAATGGTCAATTAAACCTAGAAAAAAGTCTTAGGAGAAAAATACTCAGTGAATTAGTGAAAGCAACTATCAGCCCATGTCTGTGATGACAAATCTTGTATCAGAGCTGCCTTGTAGAGTATAACTTTGATGTGAAAGTCCATTTAGTAAGTTTATGTAGTCTGCTTCATTCCCTTTCACTTACCCTTCCCAGGATGTTTGTTGCCTTCCCAGTTACTAGCACTTTTTATCCTATACTTATGCATTGTACCTTGCCATATTATTCATTATCCTTCTTTGGCTTCATTACTTTTTTGTTCCACTAAGCAGTTACTTTAATCCCATTTATTTTCCCTTCTTACATGACCTCTTCCTTTCTAGTTCTGTGCTCTTCAGGAAAGGCAGCTAGGGAATGAGTGATGTTGAATCTTCTTTCTTTGGTCACCTTGTCTTGGTGGGAAATGGCTGAAGAATAGTCACTTCCCACCATGCCTTAGTCATTTAGAAAGGACAGATCAGAATATTATGACTAAGGTGTATAAATTTGTGGTAAAAGGAAGGAAGGTGGGGTAAGGGGTCTTCCTAGGAAGGATAGGAGAAAGGTGGAGGAGAGATTAGGTGGAAAGGGAATGTACATCTAGCAAGTTTGTGTGTGTGTGTAAGATTGGAGTATATGGAGACAAGGTAGTTTTTAGACTTGACATATTGTTTCAGTGTGATCAAGGTAACATTTATAGCCATACCTGTATCCTGTAGGTGATTATTATTATTATTATTATTATTATTATTATTATTATTATTATTATTATTATTAAAGAATGGAAAGGCACAATACCCTGACTGGAACAATGCATAAATAACCCTCACATAGGAGAGAGAACCTTATGACGACGTTTTGGGACAGGGACATTACAGTGAGAGGAAGAAAGAAGTAAGTGGAGAAGTAGTGGTAGAGGTAATGCTGATAGTGGAAGTAATAGTGGTGGTAGTAGTAGCAGTAATGAAGTAATAAAAGTGGTAGAAGTAGAAGTGGAGCAAGTCTAAGGACAAGAAAAGGAGCGCTGCAGGAAAGCTAATTGACCACAAGAGTGGGGCCAACTGAAGGACAGAACACACCTAGGCAGAAGAAAGGAAGACAAGGAAAAATAGGAAAGGAGAAGAGGTAGGGAGAGAAGAAAAGATCAGGATAGGTCACTACTACTGCTGCTACTCCCACCACCATCTCATTCACGATCCTTTCTGTCTGCCACTACTCCCCAGACTTACTACCTCTACTACTACTACTACTTCCACTATCAGCATTACCTCAACCACTACTTCCCCACTTCTTTCTTCCTCTCTCTGTCTTGTCCCTGTCCCCTTCTTGTATATATAGTGGCTCCCTCGCCGTTATGTGTTAGTGGGACTTGTAAATGGTCTAGGTTAGTCCGAAACATTGCCATAAGCGGTTTATTTGTGGATTATTATTATTATTTTTATTATTATTATTATTATTATTATTATTATTATTATTATTATTATTAATGTTAAGAGCTACATCCATGTGAGTTATTCAGCGCAAGATGTGGTAGAGGCTAAATCTTCTGTCTGCTGAGCACGAGGCAGACATATTTCCTATTTGTGCTCACCCAGGTGTTATCCTGTAGGTGAGAGGTGTAATTTCTGCATTTTCAAGAAGGGGGGAGAATGTTACAGTTCACAAGGTCTTTTTGTCTGTTATGTCCATATATGTCTGGTAAGACATATATGGAGGGAGAGAAGAGGGATCATCCATCCATGGTGGGAGATGCCTGGTGTGATAAGAAAATGCACATTAGTTTGTTTAAAATTGTATTATATATATCTAGTGAAACATTGTTCTTTAACCAGGTCACACCTGTGGTCTGTTTACAAGATTTTGTGTCTGCGAATACGAACAAGAAGTGGCACGAAAGATGCAACTCATAGCCTTGTAGTTGATGTAGACTTAAAAGGGGTAATAGATACAGACAACCCTCCTGATTTGCCACCATTCCTTGGCTGGGAGAAGAATGAAAGGGGTAAAATGGGACCACGTATGGTGAACCTGTCTGCTAACATGGATCCAATAAGGTAAGCACTGAAGCAAACTTTTAGTTATAAACGTATTGACATATATGAGGCATTGCATGGCAGAAAAAATAAGCGCCACCATGGCCAAAATGTGGGTTATTGAATGAAATGATTCCTTAACCCTTTTAGGGTCAAGATCTCTGATCTCAAACTTGCTCTCAGGTTTGACAAATTTAAAAAAAAAAAAATTATTTTATCGTATGAAATGATAGAAAATCTTTTTCTAAAGGTAATGAAACCAAAAGTATGAAATTTGATGGAAAACTTACAGAATTACGCTCTTGCAAAGTTAGCAGTCACTGCAATAGTTAGGCATCATTGATTTCGCCCAATTTTTGGCCAGTTCCATTGTTCCAGTTGACCAAACTCAGAGCTTTTTCACTGGTATTCCTTCTATTCTATTGATAGAGTACAAGAAAATGCCCATTTACCTATTTCAACTGCTCAATAAATTGATCAGAAATTGATAATTTGGCCAATTTCACAGAAAATTCAAAATTTGCCAGTTTAAAATAGGGTCTAGAATAAACAATATAGACATTCCTGGCACTGAAAATACATTTCCACTATTCCTTAGTCATGTCTCTAGGCCCCTTTTATATTATGCTTGCTTTCCATTTTGAATTTTTATTCACACAAAAAAATTGAAGTTTTACTGTTATGCAGACTCCTGCATTATTGTAAAAATTGTATAATTAATATCAGTGCATTAGACTGGCCAGTTGGATAAATATTGGACAAGTTTATGTCATTTGTGTGTATTCTGGAATATCAGCAAAAAAATTGAAAATTTCCGCTACTTAGAGCTCAGTTTCAAGCTACGTTTAGTCCTGAAACCAATCCAAATCATCTCTGTTCTGTAAGATGTCTTCCATTCTATCAAATGAGACCAAGAAACTGAGAATACAACCATAAAATCCATACCAAAATACACTGCAAAGTCACTGTTTTCAACCAAAAACACGGTCACAGTTTCTTTTTCTCATGCACTGCATGTTGTAGGATTTTTTACATGGTGCCCACTTACTGCATAGACCCATTCTCTAATATTTAGGCCCAAATTTACCACTCACAGCTTATTTGAGTGAGCTGAGCTCATGGCATAGTACATACTACAGGATTGACCCTGGTTTCAAAGCCACAGTACAATGGGACCTACACCGATAGGGTTTTTGTCTGTTTGTTGGAATGTGTAAATATTTTTTTTCATCTATAAATTAAACCCAGAGCCCCATAACAATTATGGTAACTTGAGCTTCACAGCTCCAGTCTACCCCATGCCTGCATTTTTCTCCATTATGAATTTGGCACTTATTCTCTTCTGCCTGTAAGTGTTAGGATTCACTTGCCATGGTTTTGAGCCACACCCATTCTGTGATTCAGAAATGGCCATCTGTCATGGTTTTATTTCACAGTCCATCAGTTTATATAATTTACTGAGCGGTTTACAAACATTTAGAAAATGACTTATCCATACATGGTAATCGTGTATTTCTTTTTTGACTTTTGATTTTGTTTTTGTGCTTTAAAATGGAGAGGAAAAAATTGCTGTGATGTTTCTCAGTACATTTGTATGTTATAGAAATTTATGGTAAAAAAAATGTCTTAAATCAAGCTACAAAAAATGAGTTACAAAGAAAGCTGAAAGCTATAAAAATATCTTCATTTTCTAATTAGAAGGGAGAGAGGAGACATAGTGTCTACATAGTGTTCTTTGTCATAAATGAATACTAAAGAATAGATAAAGAAGATTTCTTGACATCATCAACAAGGTCAGCAAAAAACTGTCACAGTGGTACTTGAGTTTTTTCACATAGTGCCAGAACAGAGGAATGAGTTACAAGATAAGATAGTAAATGCTACAGTCATTGGATATTTATTTAAATTATATGATAAATTAAATACTAAAGCTGAGACACTATTAACATATTCCTGTTCTATTAAGTAGAAATAGGAAAATACACACTTTACTAGTTTATATACAGAACTATACTTATAGCTGCTGTTGTAATATTTTAGAAATAAAACTGTGTTACTCTTCAGTATAACAGTTACACTGTTTAAGATCTTTAATATATATTTATTGTCATGATCTCTCACATTTGTAGACTAGCCGAGTCTGCTGTAGATCTGAACCTTAAGTTAATGAGGTGGAGGGTGGCTCCACTGCTTGATCTGCCCATCATCCAAAATACTCGATGCCTCCTCTTAGGCTCAGGGACTCTTGGTTGTTCTGTGGCAAGATGCCTTTTGGTGAGTCTGTATATATTTAGTAGAACTCTTATTAAAATGTGTTATACTTAGTCACAATCTCTGTAGCCTCTGTTATATGATATGTAAGGTTCTTATTTCTGTATCCAGGTTCCATGAGTCACATGTAGTAATTGTGACTTTTCAGTTTAACCTCTGTTAACCAGTTTAACCTCTGTTAACCAGTTTAACCTCTGTTAACCAGCTTAACCTCTGTTAACCAGTTTAACCTCTGTTAACCAGCTTAACCTCTGTTAACCAGTTTAACCTCTGTTAACCAGTTTAACCCCTGTTAACCAGTTTAACCTCTGTTAACCACTTTTTGCCCAGTAAGTCATCTCTCTACAAGATTGAATTAAGTATTAATATTGTTTCCATAATAATGTGGAAATAAAATGTTGCACTGTGTTTGGTAAGTGAGCAAATTGCCATGTCTTGCAATGTTTTAAGCTGCCTGTAAATATGTGTAATTTATTTATTTTATTAACATATCGGCCATCTCCCACCAAGGTAGTTTGGTCCAAAAAAGATAAACTTTCATCATCATTTGCTCCATCACTGTTTTGCCAGAGGTACGCTTACACTACAGTTATAAAACTGCAACATTAACACCCGTCCTTCAGAATACAGGCACTGTACTTCCCATCTCCAGGACTCAAGTCTAGCCTGCCAGGTTCCCTGAATCCCTTCATAAATGTTACCTTGCTCACACTCCAACAGCACGTCAAGTCCTAATAACCATTTGTCTCCATTCGCTCCTATCTAACATGCTCACGCATGCTTGCTGGAAGGTACCAAGCCCCTCACACGCAAAACTTCCTTTACCCCCTCCCTCCAACCTCTACTAGGTCAACCCCTACCTCGCTCTCCCTCCACTATAGATTTATACACTCCCAAAGTCATTCTATTTTGTTCCTTCCTCTCTATATGTCTGAACCACCTCAACAACCTCTCCTCAACCCTCTGGATAATAGTTTTGGTAATCCCGCACCTCCTCCTAATTTCCAAACTACGAATTCTCTGCATTATATTCACAACACACATTGCCCTCAGACACAACATCTCCACTGCCTCCAGCCTTCTTGTTTCAAAATTCACCACCCATGTTTCACACCCATATAAGAGCATTCGTTTAACTATATTCTCATACATTCCCCTCTTTGCTTCCATGGACAAAGTTCTTTGTCTTCACAGACTCCTAAGTGCACCAGTCACCTTTTTCCTCATATCAATTCTGTGATTCACCTCATCTTTCATAGACCCATCTGCTGACACATCCACTCCTAAATATCTGAATATATTCACCTCCTCCATACTCTCTCCATCAAATCAGATATCCAGTCTTTTGTTACCTAATTTTTTGTCATCCTCAAATTTCAAACGAATATACAACAAATTTCCAAGACCGTAGGCATACTATCGAAGATACGATACTATGTTCCACAGTCAGCCCTCTTGGCCCTATATCACTCACTTATTTACCCCTATCTCACCTATGGAATTTGTGCATGGGGCTCAACAACAATAAACCATCTCAGACCACTAATTACCCAACAAAAGGCTGCAGTCAGAATGATAACAAATTCCCACTACAGGCAGCACACTTCACCAATATTCAAAACTCTAAACCTACTCACCATACAAAACATCCATACTTATTACTGCACCTACTACATACATAGAACGCTTAACTCAGATATAAACCCTCCCCTCAAACATCTCCTTACCAACCTCAACAGAACACATGACCATAAAACAAGGCACAGATCACTCTTTGATGTTCCTCGTGTCCATCTCAAACTATGCAAAAACTCAATGCACATAAAAGGCCCTAAAATCTGGAATTCATTACCTGTGATTATAAAAGAAACACAGTCTGTTTATAAATTCAAGTCTCTTCTCAAAAATCACTTACTCACCCACAACTAAATAAATACTGAATAATTGTATCTCATAAATTGTATCTCACAAATGTTTATCATAATTGTATCTCATAAATGTTTAACCTATGACCCAATCAAACTTTGTTATTTTTCATTACATTACCTAACTGAATACTCCATTCTACTGAATGCACAGCAACACAGTAAATGACCATATGACCTGTCTTTGTAATGCTCATTTGTGCATAATTGTAATCTGTTTACAATAATGTTTTCTTTCTTCTTCTTTCAACAAACCGGCCGTATCCCACCGAGGCAGGGTGGCTCAAAAGGAAAAATGAAAGTTTCTCCTTTTACATTTAGTAATATATACAGGAGAAGGGGTTACTAGCCCCTTGCTCCCGGCATTTTAGTCGCCTCTTACAACACGCATAGCTTACGGAGGAAGAATTCTGTTCCACTTCCCCATGGAGATAAGAGGAAATAAACAAGAACTAGAAAGAAAATAGAAGAAAACCCAGATGGGTGTGTACATATATGTTTGTACATGTATATGTAGTGTGACCTAAGTGTCAGTAGAAGTATCAAGACGTACCTGAAATCTTGCATGTTTATGAGACAGAAAAAAAGACACCAGCAATCCTACCATCATGTAAAACAATTACAGGCTTCCGTTTTACACTCACTTGGCAGGACGGTAGTACCTCCCTGGGCGGTTGCTGTCTACCAACCCACTACCTAGGAATAATGTTTTACCACTGAATATATCATTGCTTAGTTAATCTTAAGTTAACTTTAAGCCTGCCCATAATGCTCTGCATACAAGGGGCTTTGGCATGTTATACTTAATTACTGTATTCCTTTGTACTTCTCTGTATCATGTTCAAATTAATAAATAAATAAATAAATAAATCACTTTACTCTTTCCTATATTCTTTTTTAATTTTCTTCCTTTACATACCCTACCAAACTCATCCACCAACCTCTGCAACTTCTCTTCAGAATCTCCCAAAAGCACAGTGTCATCCACAAAGAGCAACTGTGACAACTCCCACTTTATGTTAGATTCTTTATCTTTCAGCCCCCACAGCTCTTGCCAACATCTGAGGATTCACTTCTCTTACAACCCCATCTATAAATATATTGAACAACCATGGTGATATAACACATGTATGTTTTTTTTTTTTTTTTTTAAGCTGGCCGTCTCCCACCAAGGCAGGGTGACCAAAAAAGAAAATACTTTCAGCATCATTCAACATTTTCACCTCACTCACATATAATCACTGTTTTTGCAGAGGTGCTCAGAATACAACAGTTTAGAAGCATATACGTATAAAGATACTGTACACAACATATCCCTCCAAACTACCAATATCCCAAACCTGCTATTACTTTTCATTATATAGTAGGGCATGCTATAACAAACAGTTTATATAACAAATATTTACATAAATGGTAATTCTCTTCTCCTCTGCCTCCTGTCCTGCATGCTGAATAACACTATGGTAGGATAACGTACAATATTTTTTATGTCTTGTACAAATTATTTTTATTTCATGTATTAATGATATTCTTTATGTCAGGAGTGTAAATGCACATTTATGCACTTTTTTACAATTTTATATTATATTTATCATTGTTCTTCTTCTTTCACCACACCGGCCGTATCCCACCGAGGCGGGGGTGGCCCAAAAGTTAAAACGAAAGTTTCTCCTTTTACATTTAGTAATATATACAGGAGAAGAGGTTACTAGCCCCTTGCTCCCGGCATTTTAGTCGCCTCTTACAACACGCATGGCTTACAGAGGAAGAATTCTGTTCCACTTCCTCATGGAGATAAGAGGAAATAAACAATGGTTGTTTAATATATTTATAGATGGGGTTGTAAAGGAAGTAAATGCTAGGGTGTTTGGGAGAGGGGTGGGATTAAATTATGGGGAATCAAATTCAAAATGGGAATTGACACAGTTACTTTTTCCTGATGATACTGTGCTTATGGGAGATTCTAAAGAAAAATTGCAAAGGTTAGTGGATGAGTTTGGGAATGTGTGTAAAGGTAGAAAGTTGAAAGTGAACATGAAAAGGTAGGGATGAGGGTGTAAAAATGTTTTGGGATAAAGAAAAATTGGATATCAAATTGGGGGAGGAGGAGTATGGAAGAAGTGAATGTTTTCGGAATTTGGGGTTGACGTGTCGGCAGTGGTTTTAGAAGGATGGGGTTTAAATCATGAATTTGTGGGGGAAAAAAGGTGAGGGGTGGTTAGGATATGGGGGAGTAAAAAAAAACGTTTTATGGAGGAAAAGAGGGTATGTATGAAAGTATAGTGTCCAACACTTTTTATAGGGTGTGAAGCTTGGGGGTAAATGCAGCCAAGGAGACGGTTGGGGAGTGGAGATGTCCTGTTTAAGGGCAATGTGGGTGTAAATATTATGCAGAAAATTCGGAGTGTGGAAATTTGGAGAAAGGGGTGGAGTTTAAAAAATTAGTCAGAGGGGAGAGGAGGGGTTGTTGAGGTGGGTTTGGGATTTAGAGAGAATGGATCAAAGTAGAATGACATGGAAAAAATAAAATCTATAGGGGAAGGAAGGCGGGGGGAGGGGTGCCCCGAAAGGGTTGGAGAGAGGGGGTTTAAAAGGGGGTTTTGTGGGTAAGGGGCTTGGGTTCCGCAAACGTGGGGGGCGGTTAGATAGGAAGTGAATGGAGACGAAGTACTTGGACCTGCGATCTGTTTGGGGTGGAGTAGGGGGAATATTTAGTGAAGGGATTCAGGGAAACCGGTTTTTTCAATAGTTGGACTTGAGTCCCGGAAAAGGGAAGTACAATGCCCCGACTTTAAAGGAGGGGTTTGGGATATTGGGAGTTTGGGGGGGGATATGTTGTGTTTCTTTTATGTGTATGCTTTTAGACTGTTGTATTTGAGCACCTTGCAAAAACAGTGATAATGTGCGGTGTGGTGAAAGGTTGAATGATGATAAAGTATTTTTTTTTGGGGATTTTTTTCTTTTTTGGGTCACCCTGCCTCGGTGGGAGACGGCCGATTTTAAAAAAAAAAAAAAAAAAAAAAAAAAAAAAAATCAAAAAATTTTTTAAAAAAAAAAAAAAAAAAAAAAAAAAAAAAA